TACTTCGGCTGGAAATCCAAAATAAAGAATATGTTCTCTATGCTCTATGTTCTAAGGTTAATAAATAATATTTTCAGCGTCCACATCAAACCGCGAATTCCATCACATTCGCTAACGGCCCGGTAGCGAATAATGAAAAAGATGGGCTTTTGGAGCTTCGGAAAACCAAAGGCTAAGCGTGGCACAAAGCTGAAAAGCGAGGCCGGAAAAGCGGCGTTACTTGCTCGGCACAAAGAGCGATACGCGAAAGTCGGTCGCCCAAACAAATCGGGCAATAATTATGCCGAAAGTGGTGCAAAGAAGCGGAAGCGATTGTACAACTCCGACGAACGCAAGCAGCCGACGCAAACCGTCGATTTCGATGTCGAATTCGATGCAAATGACGCACCAAACATCGACGCCGTGTTGGAAGGCATCGATAATGAAGCCGCAATCCGTAGCTTAATGAAGCTACTCCAACATCGCCAGTTGGGCTACGATTGCGGCTCGAAAACCAAGCTCAAGCTTGATGCACTCATCAAAGATGCATTTGGTAAGTTTATATGTTTGTCATCAATTGATTCTTCGATAAATATTTTCGCTTGTGCACGCACATTCTCTTGCTTGTGTTTTCTCCGTTGTTGTTTGACATAAGACGATCAGCTTTCAAAAGTTTGGGACTTGTCCTTTGCCTATGTTTTTTTATGGAGCACATGTTTATGCTATATTTAAGCGACATCTTGACGCTGAACGCTGAACGCCGAACTATGAAATCAATGACAGCAACCAATGACAGCAACAATAGAACGTATTTGTATTGCAAAATTATTCCACCTTGCAGATGGCGCCAAACCAAACGGCATTCTAGTCATTTTTCTCATTGTTCGTTCAAACCAAACGTGTTTGTTTATCTCTGAATCGACGGGACGATGTCACTAAATTTGCCATCAAATTGGCTTCAAGAATTTAAGGAAAAGGAAATATTTTCCAACTGTGAAGTTAAATTTGGGAAAAAAGATAACCGACTTATCGAACTAATCATATTCAGTCAAAAAGTGTCAAAATGCAAACTGAACTCTGAAACGTTTTGGATTTGCTGAATATATTACCATTGCGCTTCACTGTGTTGTTCATAATAGTATCCACTAGGGGTTTCACGCAAACTCGAAGGCCGAAGATTTTACTAAATAGCTGGAAATAAAACCATTTTATGTGTAAACTATAGATATTGCTTCTTTTTATTCATAAACTCGAATTTATTAGAATTTTTTGAATCTAAAAATTCTGGAAGTGGGTTTTGGTGGATCCTCAGGATTGTTCAAAACCGCTCCTGGTTCTGGAAGTGGATCCTCAGGATGGACCAGGGCATTGTCAAACCCAGTCTGATCCATCCTGAAGATCCACCAAAACCCACTTCCAGAACATAATTTTCAAGGTGAATGTTGAAATATTTCGAAATAATACGGATTTTGGTGAATCCCAGAGAATGTGTTGAGGAAAATATTGAAATTTTAGATGAATTTTAAGTTGCGTGAAACCCCTAGAGTATCCAGTGACGCGAAAAAAAACCCAATTATCGGAAATCATTTGTGTGAATGGGAAGTAATTGCGATAAATATACCTGTCCAACGTGTAAAATCCATACCAGTCTACCGCAACATAACGACAATTTCAGTAAAGTGGAACAAAACAAAGAACAATTCTTGAAACCATGCAAAAATTCCATATGTTTTTTTTTTCAAAGTGTTGATCTGTTTGATCAAAAATTTTAAACGCAATCCCAAATTTGGCAAAAGCATTACAATTTCTAAAAAGGAAAATTGTTTCGCTGTCGCTACCGCTACCGCAAATGTATTGGTTAATTCAGTACAAGTGAGAAATTCGGTCTACTACGTAAGTGACTTGCGACTTGCGTTGTGTCATTTGTACTGAGTTCACCAATACATTTACATAGTTTGACGTTTCACTATTTCACTTGTATTTGCGATATTTTTTTCAGTTTTGTGTTTTTAAAAATGAAACGAGATCGTTTCGAAAATATTTGCAAATAAAATTTGCGTTTTATGTTAGAATAAGAAAGTTTTTCCATTTTATTATTATTTAACTGGCATGTACTATGTAAAAGATAAAGTTATACGAATTCAATCAAACAAATTTATCAACTATGACCGACTAATGATTGAAATTCCAATCAAGCACGTACAAAATATGATCAAAATGTCCCAAAGTAAACTGTTATTCTTATTCTTATATAAGAATAAGAGACAAAAATTGTTTCTACTTTGGAGAGAGACCTGTTGCAATCACTAGTCGCTCATAAATTGTATGGAGAAAAATGATCAAGTGACTAAAATATAGCCACCAAAGGTGAAACAAAATGTATAAGGAAATGTTGAAAAATTCACACGCACACATTGTTTCCTAAATTTAATACTGGGGAGTGCCCAAAGATGAGACAGATTTGAGAAGAAAAATAATAGGAGTCATAGAGACAATTCAAACTTTTGTGCCAGATTTATCTGATCACACCGGACCGATACGCAAATTGTTGAGAAAAAATGTAATTTATCGAGGGACTGTACAACATACAGAAGCATTCAATAAAATATAACAACAAATAATTGACGCGCCGATTTCAATTCCGTTTGACGAGTCAAAAGAAATCGAAATTGAGTGTGACGCATCGAAAGTAGCCTTTGTTTAATATATCATTGACCATTTTTCGACATATTATCGCAATTTGCTCTAAATGTGATGCTTAAACATACCATTTTTTTGCCATAATTCGGCAGCTCGTAACAAACTACGTTGAATAGGATCGATTTACAGCGATTTATTCCAGGATATTCAAAAAAACATAGTGTCAATTTGCCAAAAATCGCCGAAATTTGTCATTTTTCTGTATATTCCAGAATATGCATGAAAAACGTAACTTTTGTTCGGGAGGTACCTCAAAAAGCCAATTTTCAGAGTTTTTATCTGGTAAGACTCCCCATATTTTCGAAGAAAAATAACTTTGCACAAAGACACCCACCCCAAAAGGCCTATACTTAAGGATTTTTTGGCCAAAAATCGATTTTCTGAGAGATGAAATCGAACTAACCGAATATGCGGCTAGAAATATATGAAACCATCACTCGACTTGGTCATGTAGGTACTTTAAATGTTCGTGAGGGATCATACTAGATGTTCAAAGGTAGCAAAAGCAGAAATTATTTGCTCATTGGGGTGATTTAGCCGTGAAACTGAAGCTCATGGTCGTGATTCGCACAATTTGGTCCCAGAAAATCGTACTTTTTGAAACTAGAAATCGATCCCTCGTCTTAAATTCGCTGGATATAGACACATTTTCGTACGTATGTTGGCTATAATTTGGCTTTTAGAATTTTTAATTGAAAAAAAATGGCCAAATTTGAGGTGATTTTCGAATATTTGTTGCTCTATCCATGTCCAGAGGCACATTTTGAGTTGTGATATGGCGTTATATCGATAGCTAGGAACAAACTGAGTCGGATAGAGGTGTTTTCAGATTGATTTATAGTGGACTCGATCACCATAAATGGGCAAATATACAGAAAAATGACAAATTTCGGCGATTTTTGGCAAATTGACACTATTTTTTTTGAATATCCTGGAATAAACCGCTGTAAATCGATCCTATTCAACGTAGTTTGTTACGAGCTGCCGAATTATGGCAAAAAAAAATGGTATGTTTAAGCATCACATTTAGAGCAAATTGCGATAATATGTCGAAAAATGGTCATTTTTTAGGTGATTTTCAAAAAAAATCCGGGGTGACACCAGGCACTATATATCAAAAAAGTGCCGGAACAAAATTTTCATCTCTCCTCATGATCTTTCCATCCCGCACTATTAAATTTTGAATCCTTTTTGTTTGAAAATTGATCACCCCTAATGAGTATCCATCTAACTATTCAATTGCACACGTCTCTATGTAATATTTAATTCCAATGTATTACTAATTTAGTATACGGGCTTTATAAAGCAAAATTCAAAGTAATATTACTCTAATAAAGAAAAAAAAACGAACGAGTGCAAGAAGCCGCTGAAAAAAGATTAAAGTTGATAGAAGAAAAATTATACGCAATTCAACAAAAGACAACAAACTCGCTCTAAACTGATCTCCTTTATATTACAGGAGCATTGCATTTGATTACAACTAAGCCGTTAACAGATCATGTGTCAATATATAACAACACGAATAGCTCATATCGCATTCACATTGCTACGATCATTATGCTTTTGCTGCTACAGATGACGACGAT